AAAAACAAACTAAAAACAAACCACAAACAGCTTGGATGTAGGTGTGGTTAATTCTACAAATATTAAAATGAGACAAAAAAAAAAGAGATATTGGGTGTTGTCTATCAAGCCTTGATAAGCTGGGTGAACATCAAGTGTCATAACTCAGCCATTGTGTAACACCAGATAAAAGGCATTAAAAAAAAATATCACAAAACGCCATCCTGCCTTTGGGTGACCAAGCACTTCTTTAGCTGACAGATGCTTCCAGCCACTGCTAGTTGTGTATTATTCCCAAGGGAAATGTCTCCAGCTGTTCCCTGAGGTAAATGCATCCACTCAGTTGTCACGTGCAATAGCCGTCCTGCAGATCCTATTGTGAGGGAGCAATTACAATGTGCTGGAATACCAGTGAAAAAACAAGAGTCTCTGAGGTGTTTTAGGGCGACTCAGGGCTGAGAGGAATAGCTCAGCCAAAAATAATAAATCATCATTTACTCGCTTGTTCCAAACCCATATGACTTATTTTGCAGAATGTCTGCTCTTTTCTATACGACAGAAAACAATGGGCACCAAGACTGTCAAGCACCAAAATTATCAGTTAAAATGATCAGATTCTATTCAACATGGTGCATCAAAATGCAACACATGTCAATGAGTCTCATCATAAGAATAATAAATCTGCTTTGCCACGCCATTCAAATAAATGTGTGAACAAGTTTTGGTAGCTATACAACATAAGAGAAGACTTTTTCGTGAATAATGACTTAAATTTGGCCTATTCCCAGGGTTATTGTAGCTAACTAAAACCATAGATTATTAAATTATATAATAAAATATATATTTTGTTACTTAAAATAAACATTAATTTAAATAAAGCAAATCCATTTGTTTTTTAATCTAGTTACTAGGACAGCATTTATCATTTTCATTTAGTTTACTATGCACTACTATGTGTGATGTATTAAAATAACAAAAACTAAAACTAACAAAAAATAATAAAAACTATCTAGATATTAAAAAAAAATTATAATAAAAATAAACACAATTATATAGTTAAAACCTTAGCTAAAATTACACTCTAAAAAATCTGTAAAAATAGGGCACAATATACTGTATAATTTGAAGGAATTTTTCCGTATACATTTTTTTTACAGGTGTTTTACCAGTATTTAGAATTGAACACTTCATTGCATTGTGTTTTCGAGTTAACAGAAATGTCCGGATTAAATAACGGATTTATTTTTACATTGAAAATGGAAATGAAAAACATTAATCAAAAATTACAATAGTACTGCAATAATACTAAATTTTCCTCACACATAGGCTCCAAAACACTTGGAATATTTGAATTGTACTTTTAAAGTGCTCAGGAAGAAAACCGAACAAGAGAATGAGAGCACAATAAACATTTTCTTACCATTTATTTCAGTTTTATGACATAAAGAGCTGTTCTTGGTCAGGAAACAAACACAGAACGATTGAACAATTGAACAAACCCCTCCAAAATGTCAGAGAACCACTTGAAACAGGTGTTTTCATGAAGGGCTGGCAACGTAGTGAGTCTACAGTGAGAACAAACTGAACCTTTGTGTAACTATAACAAACACCAATTACAGTACGAGCCAGAAACTGTCATGGCAGTGACAGTGATAAAAGTCATGCTGGGTATCAAAAAGTCCACCCAACACTTACATGTGTGCTATGACAAACTCTGAAGGACGGCATTTCTGCTGGTGATCTGCCCTGAAGTTAAGGAAAGGCTCTGGAATACAGCTGTGAATGGATTCTATTACAGCATGTGATGCTTGGCCAAGAACTTGACAGACCTGAAACCTGGGATCCAAGTACTGGCACATTCCAATCTAAATCAACAAACAAATATAGTACGGAAAAAAAATACAGCACAATCCCTTCAATTTGTTAATAACCAAAAGGATTTTGTTTTCTTAAAACTCATTTATTAATATAAATCCAAATACCTTTACATAAACTGCACGTATATAAAATTCACTGTATGTATTGCCGTCTACATATGCGTTCTCCAGTGTTAAGGAACATAACATATATTCCACATTGTATAAAACTGTTTTCTTGCGTACACTAAAGCACTTCGACACATACAAACGTTGCCTTTATCAAACTACGAAAATAAAATAATTTCGGATGCTATAAACATTACACTTTCAACGAGACGAAAATATTGCTTAAAGCGGCGAACGCTGAACCTGAGCTGTGCAGAAGAAAAACTGTAGGGACAAAGTACTTGTGTGCTTCATATTAGCTTCTTTAGGGTTTTACTGTAGTATCTAGACACATACAGAGAGAATCAGTCATTTTTTTCCCCACTCACACCCAGCTTAATACTGCATCGCCCTCTAGATACACCTAAAAAAAAATGTTTGCGTTCATGAATGACAGGAAACTACAATCGAGATGCTTTCTAATGTAACACCCGTTTTTTTGGTCTGAGCACATTCTGTTCTCACCATTCTTTGTGTAATGAGCACAATAGATCTCATAATCCTCCTGCTAGGCGGTTCATAAATCAGCGGTTTTGATAGCGACTGCCCAAATGAGATCCCGAATGAACAGATTGGTGCGGCCTTGAGGTTATGCGAGCAGAGCATTACAAATCATCTCATAAAAACTATTTTAGCATCTCTCTAGGGGACTCTAGAATACGCCACACCCCTGACATTTGCGGAATCATGGAATATTCTATTGCGGAACAAACGGATAACCACCCATGTGCTCATCAGAACCGTTCATTACACATATTACAGCTTTAAAACAATGAGAAGTCACAAAGTCACGGACTAGACCGTTAATTCCCTTAAAACAGACTGATCAAAATGGAATGTTTTCCTGAACGTATGCTGGCGTTCCTGAGGGCAAGCGAGACACTAATGCATACAAGACATGATTCCTGTCATGAAACAAATAAAATGGGACCCGTTTGGGAATAGAAACTTGAGCGGTGAGGGCAAAAAGACACTTAAAGAGACAGTTCAGCCAAAAATGATTTTTCTGTTATTGTGTACTCACCCTCAATGACATTCCAAACCAATATGACTTACTTTCTTCTGTGGAATACCAAAACATTTTTTTTTGTCCATGCAATGAAACTCAATGGGGTCCAAATTGTATTGGACCCCATTGACTTTCATTGCATGGAAAAAAAAGAAGAAGTTATTTTGTGTTAAACAGAAGAAATTCAAACAGATTTGGAATGACACAAGAGTGAGTAAACAATGGAAAAAAAAAAGAAGTGTCATTTTGGCTGAAATATTCCTTTAATAACAGAGTAGCCCGCCCTGAGCCAATTCAATTGCTAATTAATAAAGTGATCAGCCTGAGCAAGCGGTTACAGTACAAATGCTTCAGCGGTCATGTGCTTCTTGCATCTTTGGTCAAGGATCATGTATAGAGTAAACAGTAGAAAAATACAATCATAGTAAATAGCAGAAGATGCATATATATCTCAACAGATCAGGTCGTAAAAAGGCCTAAAACACACAGCGTAAAGTGGCCTTCTGTTCGCACATGTACTGAATCAGGCCACCTCCCAGGATCCTTAAATTAGCTTGATGCATCAGCCTCTATTTCCTAAAGCACTCTGCACTATGACTGAATGAATAGAACTATATATAAAAAAGCAAAAGTGAAATCCTATCCTGCAGGAATGCATGTAGAAACAAAAGCAGCAGCAAAAAGTGAAGAAAAAGACAAATACTTGAGCTGGAACCTGCCATAAGCACCATCTGTATATGCTTGAAAAGCTCAACTGCGCTAGAGGACAGTTTCATTTTACATGATAATACCTGACTCTAGTAAGTCAGTAATGATGTTGGTGTGAGATACTGTCATTTTAACGTCTGGTAGGTGTCTAAGAGCTTCAATAATGGAATGCAATAGAGTACAAGTGTCATGCATAGTCCTTTGGAAAGTATCAACAAATGTAGAGTGCATCTCTTGCTCAGCACTAAAGTCGTCAGGGGACCTAACAACACAAACACAACACAAAGGAATATTTAAGGAATTCCACTAATACTTCACAAATAGGGTACATAAACCATGTACTAATACTTGAACTAATGGGGAATGAACTCACAGACTTATCAAGAACTAATTAAGCGCTAGCATGAGATGACTGGAATCAGAGGGAGTCATGTGAATAATGGCCACTTTAACTACATGTTTTGATAGTTAATGCATTAGATTGGCAGTATTACAAAGAATCTGAAGTAGCCAAAAAAACCTTAATTAGATTTTAAATGGGATTATTAATTTAAATGATAAAGCGCGGTTATCCAATAATGTTCTTAATGTAACAGCAGATGTGAACGTGAAGCAAATGTTATTCAGGCATTAAAATCTGAAAAAATGAAGTCATAAAAATGAAAGTCAGAGCAGGTTTTGCCACTTCACATTCTTTGTAATAGAAATCATTTGATTAAGTTGAGTGTTAGGTGTTACAACAAATATGTACAAACATGATGTTAAAGCTGTTTTTAGTGACTCCTGTCGCACATGATTAGTTCTTGATTAGTTCATGCCTTTATTCGATCAGGACTTCTCGTGTACACTTTTCATAAAGAGTTACCGAAATTCCTGTAGCTACTGACATTGAAGGGTACCATGATTTTTTTCGTTCTGGGATGGGGAAATACGAGTGTAGTGCTATCAGCAGTGTCTAATGTTAGGACAGGAAGGTCTTTAAAGTGCGCCAGAACATCCAGGTTCAAATGAACAGATAAAGGAATGCCTCTGGACTGCCTCTGCTTCGAGATACAAACCTCCTCCACTTTTGAGATGGTTTTAAAAAAACAAAAATAAAAAGTCAGTCATTAATCACAAGACCATCCAGTTTGCATATGCTGGCCACTCTCTCTCAAAAAAAAAAAAAAAATTCTAAACTTTATACATCTAAAAAAATATATATAGATATGTAGTACCAACCTATATCTTCATAAAATAATATTGAATATATAATAACATTTCCTAAAGCTAACGTGCAAATTTGAATCAGCGTAAGGTAGAAAGCATCATAGAAATGTTGTTTTGAGTGAATATTCTTGTAGGCAGCTATTTGACTGGTTGTGATCCACATCCTCGGCCTGTTTCAGTAGAGACTTTTGGTTTGAATGGTCCTCGTCTTCCAGCTTTTGCCCCCCAAAAAAGCTGGGTGGCGTCGTGAGCTGCATAGTCTCTGTTTGAGGAAGCAAGGGAGTGGAGGTGAGCAACCCTATCTGACAGAGGTCTGTCGGGCTCAGCGGGGCCTCCAAGCCTGTGCTATCCAAAACAGTCCTGGAGGCTGGAGTGTCTTTGGTGTACAGCAGAGTGCCTGCAGCGGGACTCGAAGGTTCCTTCACGCAGTGTAAGTTCTCTGATAGAGGGCCATCTGAGCCCTGTCTGCAGGACTGAACTTTTTCCTGCATTCTGAAGTCGAGTGTGATATGGTTGTCAGAGTTTTTTGAGCTTAAAGGTGTGTCCCGCATCTCCATGCTCTTTGATGGGATGGGGCTGGATATAGGTTTATCCTTCTCTTCGGTGCTACTCATGTGGGCTTGCTTTACCCTGGGCCTGTAGTCTTTCTGAAAGGGCCTGCAGAGAGGGAAAAATGGGGCGCGGGGGGGAAACAGTGACCCGAGGGAGCCCAGCTTCATCTGGCTCTGACTCAGGAAGATCCTGCGCATGTCCATTGGCAGTTTGTCCAGTTGTCTTCCCACGTGGACAGGGTTTGGGAATAGAGTTCCCTGACAAGCTCTATAAAAGTATCTGAGACATGAAAACAACAAAGAGTCAGCAAAAACTAAAACTCCTATGAGCACTGCAGTTACATGGCCACTGGCAGCAGATACCAGCCCCAACAATTTGATGTGCATTTGTACATCTTAGAAAGCACAAAAATAACATTGTTTTAATGACTTCTAAATATATATATACACTATAAAAGTATATATATATAATTATAATATATTTATTTAATAAAAATGTTATATTTAACAAATTTTAAAATGAAGATTTAAATTTTTTTTGTCAGCCAAACCCTTTTGACATAAAAATTTCCTTGAGATTTTAATATTTCAATAATTTCACATTTTTAACATTTAATTTTTATTTTAAAAAAATGTAAAATTTATTTTAAAATATTTTATAAATATCTACTTTAATTTTGTATTTTATTATTTAATTATCAGCTCATTAATTATTAACTATTAACTATAATATAATATAAGATATAAATCTGTGATTCAAAATCTAAATTAAATCTGAAACTACAGAGAAAATGAAATAAATTAATAGGAAATTGTTTTCTGCACTTTTTAAAACTGTGGTTATGCTAATAAAACATAAATATTAAATATTTGCTAAATTACATATTCATATTACGAAATGATTTAATTACACAAAATTCTAAAGCACTTTGAACTAAACTGCAAAACATTACTGCACCAAATTCAACTTATAGAAATATATTGGCATAAATATTCCTCATTTGAATGACAACATATAAATCGGTGTGTAAAAAATGTTTGGTTCAATTAACTTAATTTAAATAAAATACTTCCAACAGGGTTTAATAACGGTTATAGATACCTGGGAAGAAGAGCGGCAATAGGTGTGACAACACACAGCAGGTAAAATATAGGTTCTCCCAGCAGCCTCTGCATGGTCCAATAAGTGTTGGAGGGAGAGAAACAGGTTGGGCAGGAAGCATTGTAGCACAGCGCCACAGTAAAGAAGAGAGCTATACTGAAGCCAATCGACACCCAGTTCATCCACGTCTGTGAAATAATTAAAGACAATCAAGGCAGGGTTAACAAAGAGTTGCTAAATTGCCTGAAGTAGATATTTTACAATGACTCAAAATAATAATCAAAGGTGTTTCTAGTAATTTCTATTACATAATTCCATCTCCAAGTTTATGATTTTCTGCTGTACAAAGCTGTAACAAAAGTAAAGCTTGTTGTTTCAATCCTGCTTTTCTCAGTCAGTCACATTTTGGAACTGAAATGGGCTGCACATGGAAATTCACTTTCACTTCGAATGCGCATAGGGCGACGACCTTCCACATGTTCTTTGGCCTCAACGTTGCACTCACCTCAAATAACCTAATAGGCGTTCACTCGCTCTCTCCAGTACATGTGTTCATTTTCCCAGGCAGCATGTGGAACGATGAAGCTGCCAGCCCAACTATTGGAAACGTTTACTCTCTACTTGAGCCATTTACTGTGAAGAACAGCCTCTTTCACACCAGAAGCCATCATCATGTCCGGAAAGACAGTGAGGCTGCAGAGGACATTTTTCACGCACCGAAACTTGTCAGCTGAAACTTTACAGCGCCGGTGTAATGGAAAAAGCTCTAATCCAATTCACGCTCATAAATCTAAAACAGCGACTCAGGAAAAGAGGGAAAAATAGAGGAGAATCAGGTAAGGGCTGCACGCATACATAAACGCAACTCGCAATATAATACTACGAGCACTGGCCACCCTGTGTGTTGAAATTGAAATACACTTTATTGTCCCCAAAGGGGAAATTTGTGTTGGACTCAAGGTGTTTACACCTTGTAAGAGAGACGAGCACAGTGGGCTGGACTGAGGCTGCCTGCATGGGCTGTCAGGCTGATGTATGGCTCCTGATGGCGCAGTATCTCCCGGTTCAAACCAATAATGGAGGCTCCCTGCATAAATGTCTCTGGTCATGTCAGCATCATCCTGGTCTTCCTCGCCACAGAGTTCAGCCTCATTTTGTACTTGGAGAAAGAAAGGAAAGGCTTGCTTTCTCTATCCCCTTGCACATGTGTGTGAGATGGGTTTTGGATTTCAGCAAAGCTAAAGCACTTCATCATTTCCAAATCCTAACCATTGTCAGATGAATCGTATACAAGATGTATATATACTCGTACATATTGCAACACCCTAACAGATTGTTTTAGAGTAAGTTTAAGCAACAATGACATATGAAGAAAATGGATTAGCTACAAAGATGATAAAGAAAATAATAAAATACCATAGCAGTACAAAGTCAGTATCAGGACTGCTGCAGTTATATATAAAATACATTTTAAAGACTTGAACCACTAAAATTATTACTGTATGTCAATAAAAAATAAATTAATAATAAAAAATCAAATTAAATACAGGATAAGTTTTTCCATAAGTGGATGAATGAAATAATAATATTTATTTTTATTATAACTTAAAATTATTGTGTTAGAAATGTAAATAATGTTAAAAACATTCCATGTACCATATAAATATGAATACACAAATACACAACATTTAACTATATACATGTAAAATGCCACGCAGGGACATCCTTGAACTAACTGATGGCGTAAACAAACTACTCAATCGATTTATTGAAATGAACATTAATCAGATTGAAAACGGACTTCACTATTCTTATCAGCATTTTTGCTAATGGTGTTTAGGGTAAGAAACCGAATAAGCAGGTTTAACCAGAGACCCTCACCAATCATAACAAGCACACAACCGTCTTTACACTGCAAAATCAGTACAGAAGAACCATGGAGATTGACTTTTAGGAGTAAGTTTGACTGAGTTTTAGCCACTACATCCTATTACATTTTGCATATTATAAAACAAGACTCACCCAGGTTTTGGTTTCTATGCCTAAGTGCAGCAAAATGGTGAAGAGTGCCAAGGTGATGATGGGAGTGCCCCATGTAAACAAATCCACATCCGAGTCAACGTAAGCCTGCAAATATATGACATGCACACAACACTGTTGATTACTTACAGACCCTACTTTTTTTATTTTACTTTACATGCACAGCACACTGCAAAAAGTGCAGTTAAAATATCAGAAAATTCTTGAAACAAAATGTTTACTTTAAAGCATTAACTATAAACTAAAAACATCTGCCAGTGCAATAGACAAAATACACTAATATTAAAGACACAATCTATGCAAATCAGTCTTAATGCTACAAAGTCTTGCTTGAAGTAAGCTTCTCTTATTTGAAGTTTTTTTTCGAACATTTCTGCAGTGCACTCAAACTTTAAATACTGCACTAAAAAGGTTCCATCAAGATCAGATGGCCTCCATCCTAAGGAAGACATACTTGAACAGCCATGGATTTTGCATGGACATTTCAGCGAATACTCAAAGCATTCTAATCACACTTACAAAGTAAGGGATGAAGAAACAGATGAGGCTTTGGTAGAAGGCATCAATCATGTTCATCCAGAACATGTAGGGTTTATATTCCTGTAAAAGAAATTCAAACAATCAGATCCAGGCACACGATTCCAGACGATGTTTTATTATAATGTCATTAGATGTTCCACTAATGGAGTCACAGAACGCAAATAAATGGCAAAGTCAAAGGAAAATCTCTGCAGAGGCATATGGTTAGCAAAGCAGAGGCAACCGCTGCAGTTTAATTATCCCAGGTTGCAAAATTTCACCACTCTCAAGACGATTGGTGGTTTTTATAAAATGTTTGCTCTTGCTCGTGCTGTTTTCTCCCTCATGAAACTCAGCACAGAATAAAAGACCCATTTTGAAAAGGGTCAGCAAAAAACAATCAAAGCAATAACTGTGGCAAGCGCTGCACGGGTAATATACTTCATCTGCTTATAGAGGAAGCGCTGACGCTGCAAACCGCAGGCAACTCATGTGTGAATACATGTGGCAAAAAGCTGTTCATGGGTTTTTATTTACCATTTACATTACACTTTCAATAGTCTTTTCGTTCCCAATTATAATTAAATTCACGGAGTTCACGGATGGTGTAATTATGTTCTGTCCAGTCAGCATGTACCTCTGAGTTTTGTCCATTCATGTAGAGCTGCGGCAACTCCTGCAGGGTTTCTGCTGACACATCTTTGTCCAGGGTGCCGGTGATGAGCTGAGGGAATGCGGAGAACATCAGGTTGAAGAAGATCAGGTACCACTGATCAACCATGGCTGACCCAGAGAACCCACAGTAGAACTGATACCAGAAGATGAGGGCAACGAACATCTAGGGTGAGAGAGAAAGACAAAAGACAATAGAGGGGAAAAAAAAGGTGAGAGAAAGACTAAAAAAATCTACAATGAGGTCTGCAGCTGTTGCCTCATTATAAGTCATGCATCTTCATTACGTCCAAGACGTTTCTAGGACCTCCCCAAGAATAGATCTTCATTAATCAAAGAGTATATGAAGAACAGACAACAACGTTTAAGAGCTTCTAGCTATAAACTATTGACATCATGAAACTTCAACCTGTTAAATATGGCGTTATTTTAATGACAAATGTCGAGAGCGCATTATTGTAGCGCGAAAGCACATTAATACAATGCGCG